AGCTTCTCTTCTGGTTTGGTACGGGCACGTAATCGAGGAAGACCAAGCCACTTCCGCACGTCACTCCCTAGGTAAGCCCATAGCCCAGAAAGGTAGCCTTGCTGCTGCCCGAAGTGGGAGCAATCAGCACCGAGCCTTTTTCCAAACCATCATCTCTGGTTTGCAGCAGTAAATACCAGCCCTGACCTTCGCGCACACCGCGCTAACCCAAGGACGTTCGGTGATCGAACTTAGTGACGGCTGATGCCGCCGCGACCCACGGTCCCACGGACATGCCACAGGTCAACACGACGGCCGCCTCGCACGCAGCCTTTCATCAATCAGCACTTCCGCCCTACATCCCATGGCGGCGGCAAGGGGACGCTGATCATGCTGATCCCGTGTTTGCCTCCTGGTGGACTCGCAGTCACACACCACAGCACACCCCCTGCAAACCGCATGTCCTCCACGGGCATACACCTACTCCCACCCATTCACTCGCACTTCAAGTTTTGCCCGCAGACCACTCCACGGAACAGTCACCAGCCATCCCCACCATGGCAAATTCGTCAAGCAAGGCATGTGATGCGATGCGATGCGACGTCGCTCACTGATTCCTCCTCTTCTCACAACGCAGCCCCTTTCCTCCACACCACGTGCCCCTCGGCCGTCCCTTCCGCGCATCGTTTGCTCCATCCGCCGACTCGCGACAGGCAGCAGAGAAGGCCCTCGAAGGAAAAGTAGCTTCGCCCGAGAAGCCTTTCGCAATCCTCTAGAAGATTACCCATAGTTGTCTCGGCAATCCCTGAGCTTGGCCCTTCGGAACTATCCCACCCGCCAACAGAGCAGGCTTACTTGCACAAACTCCTTAACTCGAACCGACCGCAACCAATTTCAGCCGATCTCATAGGTCTAGACTAATACACGGGAAAGCACGGAACAGCAGCAACCGTATAACTCCATAACCGCTGAAACGGCAAAATCTCGCTGCTGGACTCTGTCAGGTGCTCACCTCCGTCGGCTCCGTTAGTCTACTTCCGTTGGTCCATCAGAGAAGCATTTCTGCAAGGCTACCTTCTCTATATACCAGTCTATCGCCACATATCACGAGCTACCACACGCGTGTGCGTATCTCCTAGGCTCCAGCGGAACTGAACTCGGGGGGACAGAGCAGGGACACAGAGAGCTTTTCTGACGGGCTACATGCACAGGTGGTGGAATCGCAATTTTGAAAAAAATTCATGAGCGACTTTAAGGAGGTCCAGGAAACTCTAGTTGAGCTGGGCTGAGTTGCGACGGGCGTTCCTCGCGTAATTCTGGGGAACGAGGGGCGCCAGGACAGGAGAGCGCACCGCACCGAAAGGAATAGAGCTTCCTCTGAGGCTTCGTGACGCCTGTGACCTGCGACTCCTCCTCTCCCTCTCTCCCGCTTCCCTATCCCTCCTCCACTCCTTTCCTCTCTTCCCCTCTCTCTCTCTCTCGCTCTCGCTCCTCCCGCTGCGTTTCATCGTGCGACGCCACCATGCTGCGGGCATATGGTGCACTGCTTGTCGTCGTCGCGTCGCTCGTCGCAACATCGCCTATCCAATCGAGAGGTGCGACATCTCATATTCCTCGCCTGCCACCGCGTCTCACCAACCAACGTCATATCCATCGGTTGCAAATATACTCGGACCTAATCATTTCATCCCATTCGTCTGTGCATCTCCCTCCCCTCCCCCCCTCTTCTCCCCCCTCTTCCTCATTCCGTCCTCGCCCTCCCCTCCTTCACCCGTCCCCCATCCTCCTCCTGGTTCGTCTCCTGGTCGAACGCGCTGTTCCATCTCCAGCTCGACCTTCCGATCATTTACTCCTCGTCTCTTCCTTGTGCCCCTTGGTGTTCCTTCTCCACTCGTGCCCCACCCGTGCTTCACCTGTGGTCCGAGCTTGCCCCTTTTCTTTGTGACTTGTCATCCTCTATCCCTCATCGCTAGTTGGCCTCTAGGACTATTCATTAGTTCGTAAGTGATCTAAGCTGTCCTTGTCACTATTCGCCTCCGCATCTCCCTCCTTCCCCACGGAACAGCGGCGGCAATACCGCGCAACATGATTCACAATGGCAATTTCGAGTCGCCTGGTTCTAAAGACATAAGCGCGCCGATAATCTCCGCGGAGGGCGGCGCCGCGCTGCACCCGGTGGAGGGATGGGAGGTGAAAGAGGGGTCGATTAAGTACGTGCGCAGCGACACGTGGCGAGCCGCGGAGGGGAGCTACAGCGTGGCGCTGAACGGCGCGGGGCCGGGCGTGCTGAGTCAGCAGGTGGCGACGGAAGAGGACGCGTTCTACGTGCTCACCTTCGCCTTGTCCGCCGACCCTTGTACGTTGGCGCGCGCTGTGCGTTGGCGCTATCTGCTTCCCGCCCCCTCCCTCCTCTCCTTTCCCCCTCTCCCTGCATACACACGTCGTTAGCTCGCCCCTCTCGTCCTCTTCCCACTCTCGCTTCTCTTGTTCGCTCCCTGCACTCCCCCGCTTCCCTTCCTCTCCCCCAGGCGGCATCAACGATCTGCACGCGCTCAACGTCTCAATCGTCGCGTCGAACACGGACGTAATCGCGGTGCGCACGCTCGAGGCCGACGCGCTCGGCACGGCGGGCGGCGCGATGAGCTGGCGCGTGGAGCGCGTCGCGTTCGAGGCGCAGACGGGCCCGACGCGCGTGGAGTTCCGGTCGCTGTCGCCCGGGGAGTGCGGCCCGGTGGTGGATAACGTGCGGCTCGTCAAACAAGGTGCGTGAACACGCCATGCGGTGATCCGTGTGAGGACGATGCGCGTTCGGTACGAAGTGCGCTGTGCGTTCAAACGGCAAATCAGAAGCGATCATCATACATATAAAAACAAACAATCAGAGACTCTCATACCATCCGCAACGAGGTGTCATCGCCCCGTGTAATAAGTTGGTTCTAAGGCCCCTCGTTACCTCTCATGCCTCCTCCCCCACCCTCCTATCCCTCTCCCTCTTTCCCCCCCTTGTTTTTCCCCATCTCCCGCTTCTCCCTCAGACCCCGTGTCGCTGTTCTTCAAATCGCCCAACACCGCGTATCCCGCGGGGACGATCGCGTCCGTCGAATCCTCGACGGGCATCGACGGCTGCGCGCGCCACTGCGTCGCGCTGCGCGAGTGCGTGGGCTTCACCGCGGATCTCCGCCACCAGCTCTCCGCGCTCCTCAATGGCGGAATAGGCGGCGCGGGCGGGAGTGCGGTGCAGTGCGATCTGAAGCGGCGCATGGTGAAGCCCGTGCCGGTGGGGCCGTATGCTACGGACGCGTATGTGCTGCGAGGCGCGCCGTGCTCGTTCAGCGGTCATGAACCGGTATGCCATCACTTGATGAATTCAACACACAGAAGCGCATTGCATGCGAAACAAAGTGATTCGGTCGCTCTAGCTTCTCTCCATCTCTCTAGCACCCAACCCTCTCCAAGAGCCAAAACACGCTCGCTACCTTCTTCCCGCTTCCACACACGCTGTTCCCCTCACCCCCCCACTCCTCCCCACTCCTCCCCACTCCTCCCCACTCCCCAGGCCGTGTGTCCGCACATCCTGCCGCTCCCCGGGCTCATCCCACTCGCCTGCGTGGCCTCGCACCACGTGCGCCGCTCTCCCAGCCACCCCTTCACGGGCACGTGCCGCCCCATGCAGCGCACCGCCATGTGTCCGCTCGCAGGGGGGTTCTTCCGCCGCGGCGCGCACTTCCACGCGCCCCACCGCCTCGCCCTTTCCGCGCCCATCTCGCGCGGCTCTGCTGCGGCCGTCGCGGCGTTTCTCGGCGCTGGGAGCGGTGCTGCTGGTGCCGGTGTGATTGGAGGAGGGGGATTGGGCAGAGCAGGGATGTTGGGTGTGGTTGGGTCAATGCCCTTGGACCCTTCTGTACTGCCTCAACCACTCACCGCTGCCACTACTTCTGCAGACGAGGGGCAACGGCAGCAGCAGCAACAGCAGCAGCAGCAGCAGAAAGAGGCTTCAGAAGCGCCAGGAGCAGATGACTCAGGCGCAGCGTCAAGAGAAGCAGCAGCACAAGTAACAGGGATGGCAATAACCCTGGCGTCAGAAGAAGAGTCGTCAGCAGCAGCATCACCGGATGTGCTGCCATCGCGAGTGTGTGCATGCGAGCCGGGGCATGGGGGGATCGCCGTGCTCCGATGCTGGCAGTGACAGTCCATACCGGCATGATGATGATGTGGAGTGAAAACGGTCATGGTGGTTGGGGCAGTGCGTGCATCAAGCATGCACCTGATTACTTCTCTGCTGTGGGCTGTGGCTTCTATCCTGGTGCCACTGTGTGCAAAACAAGGTAGGGGGGTCTTGGCTGTGTCTTGGTCATGTGCCATGTGGGCTGCTGCGTGGGCTGCTGCTGTGTCCGATCCGATCAGAATGGGAGTCTCATTTTGGGAGTGGGGCATAAGGAATGGAGCCTTGCATCTGATGATTCAGAGCAAAGGGTCTCATTCCCCTGACAGTATATGTATGGGTACAGGGAGGGTAACAGTTGGGTATAAAGGGGTTCCTGAGAGTGGCCAGCACTGCTCACGGTACCTAGTTATCAGGACTTGGCTGCATCTCTCAAGTGTCTCTTCAAGTCCTGATGTAATGTGCTATGCTTCTTAATTGCTAGAGTTCAGTTATGTTTAAAACATACCGTATTCAGTTTGCAAGGGTGTACAAGATTTACGGTACTGTACATTCAGAACAGTTCAGAACGTCAATGATAAATTACAATAATGGCACTGGGTTTTATGTTATAAAGGTACTACTAACCAGTAGATTCAGAGGGTAGTGCCAATGTAACCGAGCCTGAGATTACTGGAAACCTGTTTTTTACTGTCCGACGTTCGCCCTGACTCTGACGCTGTGCACAAGGGAGACGTTAGCCCAACTACTGTTACGAAAGGCGAACTTCTTGCGTTGTTGACCATTCACATGCAGTGATCTCCCAATTCGCTTTCCCCAGGCTGCAGGAGTCTGCGACGAAACGAAACATGCGGTCATCTCACTTATCCAGTCGCCCCTGCAGGAACGACATCACTCGCAGCACGAGCCCTCTCTTCTCCGCTCGAAACGCCTCCACCAGCCGTGCTTCCTGCGCCGTCATCCCGCCTATAGCCCTCTCTGCTGCGCCACTCTCCATTCCTGCCGCCTCGGCTGCCAGCCGCACCGCTGCTGCTGCACTGGAATCAGCAGCAGCGCTGCCAGCGGTTGTATTAGCGCCAGCACCATCAGCAGTGGCAGCGGCTGTACCTTTTGTAGGCTTGTCTGCAGCAGCAGCAGCAGCAGCAGCAGCAGCAGCAGCAGCAGCAGCCTCAGGAGGAGGCACGCGGGAGAAGCTCTGCAGAAAGATAAAGCACAGACCCAGCAGCGTCCTCACTGTCTTCTGCTCACACTCCCGCCCAAGCCTCTCCACCGCATCCAACCCCTGCAGCTCCTGCAGCGGTACCTGCCTCACATCCACCGAAGCTGGAGCATACAGCACTCTCAGAGCGGCCAGCAGGCGAGGGTCTATGTGACCAGGCCCGCCCAGGGTCATCTTTCTGTCTGCGTGAGGCCCGGATAACCCCAGCTTTGCAATCACTTCCATGCGCACCCGCGCCCCTCCCCCTGCCTCCGGATCCAAAGGCCCTTCTAGCCTCCTGACCCTCTTCTCCTCTCCCCTCTCCTCTCTCCCCGTCTCCTTCTCCGCATCTGCCTTCCCCTCTCCAGTTCCCGTTCCCGTCTCCCTCGCCCCTCGTCCTCCCTTTCCCCCCTGCTCCTCCCCCCCATCGCGCCCGTCCAACCCATCCAGCCCAGCAGCAGCGCGGGCAGCTTCAATGAGGGGAAGGCCGTAGGCCATGGGGAGGGTGTCGTAGGCGTTGTTTTCAGGCACAAAGCCATAATCCAGGAGAAAGAGGTCCGTGGAGAGATGGCCGTAGTCTATGCTTATGGCGTGCCTGGGGGGTAGTGGGAGGAGAGCGCGGAGCTGGTGTGGGGGATACAGGAGGGGGGAGGGCGAGAGAGGAAAAGGGGAAGAACAGGGAGAAAGGAGAGGAGGGTGAGGAGAGAGAGAGGGAGTCGGCAGAACCGCGTGCGTGGGGTTGGGTTGGAGAGCAGGTGGGGTTCTTACCTCGTGTGGTTGTTAGTGGAAAACGCAAGAGACAAGAGGGAATTGAGGGAAGTGAGGGAAGTGGTTTTCTAAGTCACATGCAAATATCGCCATAGTGAGTAAGTCACGCGCATGGCATGTCTCCCGCCCACCTCTGCAGTGCCATCTGGCAAGAGAGAGATCTTAGCCGTTGGATTGGCATCATGATTCGCCAAATCAATCACCGGCAAAAAAACCCTCTCGCCTTCCTCCCCTCTCCTCCTCTTCACCCCCTCTCCACCCCCACCTCCCCCTTCCTTCTCCTCCTTCCCCACACTCCCTCCTCCTCTTCCATCCAACACCCCACTATCGCCCTGATCTCCCTTTCTCTCCCCCAAGATTGTAGGCACTCGGAAGGCACGGGAGGAGGCACAGCCCATGGCCCATGCAAGGTCCGAAGGGGAGGCTGGCTCATTTCCGAAGAGGCGGCAGCGCTGGGATGCCTGGAGGAGGAGAGGGGAGTGGGAGGAGGGGGGATGAGACGATGAAAACAGAGCCCATTTTGAGTCGACTCAAAACGAGGGGGGATGAGACGATGAAAACAAGGCACATGGCCCATGCAAGGTCCGAGGGGGAGGCAGGCTCATTTCCAAACAGGCAGCACCGCTGGGATGCCTGGAGGAGAGAAAAGGGGGAGTGGCGGGAGGGGGGATGAGGCGCTGGAGGAAGCAACTGCACCTTGCAACTGCACCTTGCAACTGCACCTTGCAACTGCACCTTGCAACAGCACTTCTACACATCCCAGCCAGCAAGGTGCGTACCTGCAGCGAGTCCACCACGTGTGGCAGGAAGTCAGAGGCAAAGCTTTGAGTTGACTCAAAACACGACTCGAAATACACATGGAGGGGGAGAGCAGCAACGTGCGTACCTGCAGCGAGTCCACCCACCACGTCTGGCAGGAACGCAGAGGCGAAGCGGCGGAGCATGAGCAGGCAGGCAGGCATGCATGAGCATGCAGCAAGCAGCACGTAAGCAGCAATGCTGCAGCTGCTTACCTGCAGGTTTACATACACATGGAGGGCGAGTGCAAGCTGCGTACCTGCAGCGAGTCCACCACGTGTGGCAGGAACTCAGAGGCGAAGCGACGCAGGAACGTGCTGCGCTTGGCCAACTGCCACGTGGACAGGGGAGGAGTGGGAGTGGGAGTGGGAGTGGGAGAGGAAGAGAGGGAGTTGAAAGGAACATCGGGAAGGAAGGCGTGGGGTTGCATATGCCACTCTCACTGCCTGCCATTGCTTTCCATCCACAAGTCCATGCCTGCCCATCCCCTACTGCTTCCCTATATTCCCCAATTGCTGCTCCCATCCCATTTCCCGTTCCCGGGAAAGGCGCGGGGTAGATGGGGAGACGAAGAAGGTGCGAGCATGGGCTGTTTTCTATGAGATCAACCTTCCCCCCACGAACAACAATGGGATACGTCTTCCCAGGACCACACCTACCTCAACCTCCCTAAACCTCCCTCAACCTCCCTCAACCTACCTCGGCCTGCAGTGGCGGGTAGCCGAGAGCAGCGACAGCAGCAGGCGAGAAGAAGATGGGGAGAGAGAGGGAGCGCGGGAGGAGAGCGATGTAGGGGTCCCAGTGGGGGGCAGGGAGAGGCGGGGAGGGGGGAGGAGGAGGAGTGGCGGGGGTAGCGGAGGAGGGGGAGGAGGGAGAGGATGGGGAGGAGGGGGGAGATAGGGAGGAGGATGAAGATGCTACGGGAGTTGTGAGAGTGTCGGGGGTTGCATGTCGCCTCTGCTGGTGCAGCAAGTGCAGGCCCAGGCGGAGCGACCAGAGGGACGCTGCACGGTGGGTGAGAGGTTGGTGGGAAGGAGGGGAGGGAGGGAGGGAGGAGGGGAGCAGGGAGGTGTATGAGAGTGGGGAAAGTTGTGGGCATTGTTGGGTTACTACCACGTAAAAGCACCTCCAAAAACACAGAATAAACAGCATAGAAAAGCAACATGAGCTGCTTTTTGTACATGTCATGCCATGGCACTCACATGGCACCAGCTGTCCCATCTTGCTAATTGCCACAAAGGCCCTCGCCTCCTCCTCCGCCTCTCCTCCTCCCGCCCCTCCTGCTCCTTCCGCTCCTTCTCTCGCTTCTCTCCCCTTGCCTCCTGCCACTTCCGAGCCTGCGGGCCAGGCTCGGCCGAGCTGCAGGCGGGGAGGCACGGAGAGGAGCAGCTCGCCTTTGCCCACGCTGCGGCTGGTGGTGAGACAGAGGCCGCCGTGGGAGTCAGGGGTCACTGCGATGGCGCCTGGTGGGGGGAGAGGGGAGGGAGCACGGCGGGAGGAAGGGGGGAAGGGACGGAAATCTGGTGGTCAGGCAGAGGCCGCCGTGGGAGTCAGGGGTCACGGCGATGGCACCTGGTGGGGTTGAGGAAGAGGAATAGGACGGGGTGGGGTGGGGTGGGGTGGGGTGGGGTGGGGTGGGTTGGGATGCACTGGGGTTCTGACACGACAGGTGCGATGTCGGTCTGGTGGGGTTGACTGCATGCCCCTCGTGCCTGCATGAGCATAGACGCGCACACATCCCCCTCCATGCGTACACCCACCCATCCCCACCCATCCCCACCCATCCCCACCCACCCACCCACCCGCTCTCGCACCTGCATGCCCGCCATTCTCCTGCAGCCATTGGACGAGCGACGCCACACGGGACGGGAGCGAAGGCAGCTCTTGCGCTGGCGATGGTGGGGAGGAGGAGGATGGAGGTACCGATGGTGGTACCGATGGTGTTGATGCGGTGGTTGTCGCGGCAGGTGCGCATGGCGCGGATGGCGCGGATGGCGCGGATGACGCGGAGAGAGTCGCTGGTGCGGGGACAGCGGAGAGGGGGAAGGGGATGAGAAGCGGTGAGGGGCGGAATAGGAGAAACGGGACGAGACAGGGAAGCGTGAGGAACTGGGAGCGGGGACGGCGCAGGGAGGAGCGAAAACGAGAGGCGGAAGGGAGCAAGGGTGACAGCGTGTGCGCAAGATACCGCTGCCTGTCTTACAGAGCAGTCTCGCGCGCAGGAGGGCCGCTGGCGCGCGGAAGGCCGGCCCCGCGGCTCCGCCACCTCGCGACAAGCGCAGCGCTACAGCGCCCGCCCACGATCGCGCGGGCATCGCGGCAGCGCTGCAGTTGCGCCGCGGCGAGGAGGGGGAAGAGATCAAATTTCAATGCTCTTGTGCGTGATTTGGTTGAAGGAAGCGCGCAGAGTGCTTCATCTTTGGCAGAGTTGGTCAGACTCGTTAGTGAATAACGTTAGGTTCACACACATCCAACAACACTTATGATTTTCCTTACCATATGTGAAAACGAGTATTTGTGTTCTTGCCACCAATCTAGATACACACTTCTTGTTGAAGAAAAAGCCTTTATGCATTACAACACTCCCTGCGACAAACACGACTTGCGTGTAAACAGCGCACCAACGCACAACTAGATGAAACTTCTCGTGCAGAAACAGCCTGGCAGGCTAGCACCAAATCCAGGGTTTGCTTTGCAGCACATCGCACGGGCCGGCGTGTCACTAGCACAGGCAATAGCAACAGGAGCGTGGTACTATATCTTGAAAGGAGTGTGCCTCGTGAAGACAAGCTCGGGCTCTTAGATCTCAACCTGCTCGCGCAGACGGCGAATGGTACTGCGCACCGTGACTGCTGCCGCCGTGCTGTAGAGCGCACAGAGGGGCAGGAGCGCACAGAGGGGCAGAGCGCACAGAGGGGCAGAGCGCACAGAGGGGCAGAGCGCACAGAGGGGCAGAGCGCACAGAGGGGCAGAGCGCACAGAGGGGCAGAGCGCACAGAGGGGCAGAGCGCACAGAGGGGCAGTGCACACCGGCACAGGGAGCAGAAACATTGAGGGAAGAGTACATTTTTGGGGAGCGAAAGAACAGGGAGGGAATGGAAGGAGAAGAACGGGCCGGCGGTTGGTGGAAGAGGGAATGCAAACGGCAGGATGAGCAGTGAGAAGCATGCATGCACGAGATGCATCACATGACATGAATGCGTAACATGGAATCAGGCTCAGGAAAAAGTCAGGAAAAAAGACCAGGCACGGCAGCAGGCATGGGGGGCATGGCGGAAGCAGGGGCGGAAGTACAAGGCGTGGGAGCAGCAGCGCAGGCAGAAATCTCACTTGAGCACGTAAGCGCCGCCGGCCTTGGTCTTGTTGCAGTGCTTGCAGTGCCAGATGCCCACCACCTGCCGCTTCACAGAGAACTGCATACAGCAGAGGGGCGCGGTCGGGGGACGGAAAGCCAGAGGAGGCGGAAGAGGGGATTCGGGAGAATAGAGCGATGAGCCCAAAACGGGAAACGTGAAGAGTATGGAGAATGAATGAAAGGGAATGGAGGGAAAGAAGGAAAAGGAATACACTGTGGGCGAGCAATCAAGGGGAGAGGAGTGGAAGGACAAAGTCCGAGGGTTTTCAGTGAAGTTGGTCGAAACTGTTCAATACGCCCAGGGTCAACGGCCCACTCTCTGCCTCGGTCACCTCTCCCAGGCTCAAGCCACTTGGAACCCAACCCACCTCTCCCACGCAGTCACCATTCATTCACCTCTCCCAGGCTCACCCCAAAGCCGTGTTTGCCACGCAAGCCCAGACCAGACCAGACCATGCGGCATCTAGAGCCTGTGGCAGCCTGTCAGACGCGTCCAACTTCCTCCCCTTCCCCTTCAGTCCTTGCCGCTTGTACTCCGAATTCCGATGGATAGGCCTACTTAGCCTGATAGGCCTCATCGCTCTCTCCTCATCTCGTCGTTCTATCCAGGCTACAATTCTCCACCCCTAGCTCGATTCATCTCCACCCCTAGCTCGACTCATCTCCACCCCTAGCTCGACTCATCTCCACCCCTAGCTCGACTCATCTCCACCCCTAGCTCGACTCATCTCCACCCCTAGCTCGACTCATGCACACACAATGAGAGCCCTCTTGCAAACAGCCAACCCGCCACCCAACCTCGCTTTCCCCCCTTCTCCTCGTCTCCAAAACCCTTCCCTTCACTTCAGCGCAACTATTAAGTGGCTGATCAAGCGACGAGTGCGCCCGCCCAACACGCCATTGCCTGATTCGCGCATCGCACGCAACATTCGCGACACTCCCTCTCGTGCCAATCTTCGCTCCACGCACCACCACCACCACCAACCCATACATCCCCCTATCGTTTCTTCCTATCTCGATTTGTGGATCCGGTGTCTAAGAATACACCGTGCTCCCCTGCTGCTTCCCTGCCCTACTCCCCGTGCTCCCCTCTGCTGCCTTGCGTCCATCATCGTCGCATCCGGCGTGTCCCCCCACCTTTGCCAACTCCAATTACCGCAACGAGCCACACCAGCCAAAACCCTGAATCCCCACTCCCCGCGAATCTTCCCGCCCCCCGATGCCTTCAATCTATACTACAAAGGCCGCTCTCCCGCACGTACGGTTCACCGCAGCCCATCAATTCGCATCAACGCGGAGCGATCGCGTACGGCTGCGTCGCCTGCTCAGATGCCCGTCTTTGAGGCGTTTCAGAACGCGGGTCATGAACCCATGTTGTGCCTTGCAATATCTGGTTCTATATTCTATTCCGGCGCGCCAGGCCCTTTCATTCTCAGGAGCCTCCAAAGGCGTCTCATGGTTGAGGTGCCTCAAAAACCCCAATCCAGTGACCTCATCCACGCCAGTCCCTTTTTTTTGAGTGAAAAAACAAGCTTCCGTGCTGCCGTAGCTCCATTCCCCGCCCCCTTCTACGACGTCAACCCCTAGCCTTTCCTGCTCCCCCCATTCCCTGCCAACCCTATACTCAACGGCACGGCACTGGAAGGCACCGCAAGGCACGCATCTTGCCGCAGAAGTCGCAGAAGTACTTGGCGCGCTGGCTGACCTCCATCTTCTTCACCTGCTGCGTCATTTCATTCCCCAACCGCCCCCTCCCTTTCTCTCCTTCCCCCGCTCTCTGCCACCCCTCAACTCAACGGCACGGCACGGTACAGTACGGTACGGTACGGCGCGCACCTTGCCGCAGAACTCGCAGAAGTACTTGGCGTGCTGGCTGACCTCCATCTTCTTCACCTGCTTGCGCAGCGACGCGCCGTACCGCGTGCCGTACTTGCCCACGATCCCCGCCTTCTTCGTCCTCTTCGTCTGCCCACAGTAGAGAGATCAGCGGGAAATGGATAGCGGCGGGAACGGGAGGGAGGCGCAACAGGGGGTTTTGAGAAGGCTGTGGGTCGGAAAAGAGAGGGTAGGTTTGGGCGGGATGAATCATAGGCGATGAATTTGAAAATCCAATTGTTTACGGAGCAATGAGGTACTGGTCCATGGCTGGTAACGCACGCGCAATAGCGGGGACTAAAACCTGGCGACCCAGTCAGGCTAATTTGAAGAGCTGCGGGTAACGCGGGAAAGCGAGAGAAACAATATCGTCTTCCAAATCTACTCGAGTAGCCTCAAAACGTGTGAACGTGTCGCTTCCCGCACGAATCACGGATTGCAAATGGACCTAACACGACGAAAGGATCCGTCGTCTCACGGGCGACTAGCATATACAAGAGAATAATGAACGGATGGGTTGAAAGGATGCGGCAAGGAGCTGACCATCTTGTCGAGTTGCTCGTGGAATGCGGCGAAGTGGCGTGATGCTACAGAAAACGCGAGTGGATGGAGAGTGGAAGGGGAAAGAGAGAGAAATGAGAGTAGAGGAGGTTTGAAGAAGAGGGAGAGGGGAGAAGAGGGAGCTGCAGGACGGGGACCATACGCTTTACAAACAAGGTCGTAAATATTTCCAGCTAGTACATTCAAAAACCCAACCATATTTCAAATATCTCAACCCAGTCTCACATTTCTGACAAGAAAGGGACGCGCATTCCTTTCGTTTCCTTCATTATGCAAACAATCGAACTGCTCCCATCAGCAATTTTTTATATCGAGTCCGGGCTGGATCAGACAGGACAGGATCACCCACCCGTGCTAACGTCACAGCCACCTCTCAGCACCATTTTCGCGCATCACATCACGACGACTAAGGACCGAACCGCTGACTGCACGTCCTTCACCATTCTTTCGTGATCGCCTGATCGCCTGATCGCCTGATCACCATTCGCTCACACCTGATCGCCTCGAGCTTCTCGTTTCGCGTCCGCCGCGCACGGCCGTCGCTCTTCACACCCCTCTCCCTCCTCCCTCTTTTCTTCCTCCCAGTTCCCACTCCTTCGCGGTTCGTTCCAATACTTCCATTCCCGTTCCATAATGCCCCGGCTTCTGGCCTCACCGCATCTCGCCGCTTCTCACGCCGCGTCACCGCGATTTCCTCCTTCCCGAGTCTTCCAATCGCGCGCTTCGAATGCGTCAGGCGGATGTTTAGGCGGAAAATGGGCGGAAACTCTTACTCTCCGCCGCGACATTAGCTCGGGGGGCGACTGGGGAAACCGCGGAAGACAAGGGAGTGTGGAGAGCTATGCGGGGCGGAGTTGGGGGGAAGGGCGGAGCAGGCGGAGAGGGGTGTGTTGCTCAACGGGGACAGGGGGGAAGGGATTCGGAGGGGGACAGGGGACTGGGGAAAGCGCAGGCGGGGCGAAAGGGAGCAGTGCAGCCAAGAAGGACGAGAAGAAGCAAGAGAGCGGCGCGTTTGGCGGCTTGGACTGGAGAGAAGTGGCCCGCCCTGCTCTTCCCATGCTGGATCTGTCCAAACCACGGGTGAGAGCCACGTGCTTTTTGTGCTTTGGAGTTTGTGGTCTGAATCTCGCATTATAGGTGTGTGGGCTTGCCTGGGCTTTTCTGCCCTGGTCTTCCCTGGGATTTCTTAGGCCTCCTTGCCCTGGTGTAAAATGACTGCCAGGTTCTAATATTTTGCCGTTATTTCTTGTTTGATATTATCATAAAGCCTTTCGTGTCATCATTCCTTTCCGAATACGGTGCATGGCTGGCAGGTGTATTATTTCGCCCTCGCCAATGCCTACAGCCTCATGTAAGGCCTTGCCCTTGTCATCCTTCCTTCCCCCCTCCTACCTGACTCAAAATCCATTAGGTTGCTGTTGATTACTTGTCTCAGTCTCATGATTTTCCTCTGTAGCAATGGTTATATTTCGTTCATTGATTGCTCTGGCCTGCTTTGATCGCACGCCTGTCACCCACCGTTATAGCTTTTGTGCTGCATGAACCCATCCTCTCTCAGCACCTTCTCCTCTCTCCGTCTCCCTCTCTCACTCACTCCATCACTCTCTCTCTCTCCATCTCCCTTTGTCCTTTGCTCGGACTCCATCCGTCCCTCCTTCTCTCTGTCTCTCGCCTCCCATGCCTCCAGGGACAAGGGCGCGTTGCTAGAGGAGGTGCTAGCAGATGGCATCAGGAGAAGCCAAAGGTACACCCACCCACCAGCCTTTCCCGGTCGACCTGCCTTGTGGTAACTGCACTGCGTTCAACCCTAGAAGAGCCCTTTGGGACGTGAGAACAACTGCATGCTGATGTCCGGGAGAAGTAGCGCTGTCAGCACATGTTCATGTCCGCTGGTCCCCTCCCCCCCACATTCACACACACCATTCCGGTTTCCCACCTGCAACCCACTTTCTGTTCGCGCAGAGGTGGTCGCGCGCGTGACGTGTGGATGGTGATGGAGCCGGCATTCCTGGACCATCCCTCGCTGGCATCACTCAGGGCGGCCATTCGCCCACCCACCGCTGCTATTGTCTCCACCAATGGCGACTGGATGCTTACCATTGTGCACGAAATGCTGCCACAGGTGCCTCTTTTTTCGTCTTCTTCTTTGCATGGGTGTATTGGATGCTTGTCGGCTGGTGATTGTTTCAAAAAATCGTTTACAGAATGCAAGGGCTCAGGGGGGTGTTTTTTGTGCAGCATATCCACTGTTTTCTTTTGTCAAGACAACACTGCATTTGCTCTTCATGTTTACCCTCCGTCCGTCCTGTGCTATCTCTCCAGGCTACCATCGGCAAGTTCTACGCCCCAACACCACAACTGCCTGACCCGCTCAAGTCCAAGCTCACTCCAGGGGACGTTGCCTTGGGTGGTGGAGGTATCTGGCACTGAGCTTGGCATTGTAGCTCACCAGGAGAGGGGATATTTGTGATTCTGGTGAAGTGCGGACAAGAATTGCTGTGCAGATGGCAGTGCATTTACTGGAGGTTTGCTGTAAAATCCTCCTAATCAGGCCCTCAGATTCGTTTTGGCGTAGGCTGACTAGTCATCCTTAGGAATGGATTCATGGCTGAGTGGTCAGTGGAGTTGGTAAAAAAGAAACTGATTTTCCAGGGTGTCTAGGAGAAAAAAAGCTGAACGATCAGCGTCGTTTTGCGGTGAAGTCTGATCCACTCATATCTTGTAAGAATTACAATTAACTATCAAGATCATCATCATCCTCGTCATCTTCTTCATCCTCACTATCACTAGAGCCTACATCTTCTACAGCATGGGGTTCATTTAATTCCATAGCTGTCGCTCTACCCTTCTTGCTGGTTTCCCCTTGGGTGGAAATAGGGGCATTAGAGAACGGCTTTCTCTTCTTGTAGCTTCTCCAAACGTCGACCACCTCGTCAAACCGTGGCTCGTACGGCATCAGAGACATGCACATCAGGTCTCCCAGCCGTGCATCTTTGAGGCTGCTCCGCTGCCAGGACTTGATCACGTTCTGGCGGGAGAAGCCCCTTTCGCACTCCACAGTGCTAAGGGGAATCACCGCCACTGCTACCCACAACAGCACCAGGTTGGGGTAACTCTCCCGCCAGTCAGGAGTCTTCAAAATCGCCGTGAGGCCATCGTGGAAAGACCTCTCCCCCTTCGGTGCAGAGGCACGGACGGAGCAGAACAGTCGCAGCTCTTTGTGGGCCTGCCGCTTCTTGATACCTGGCATGGCAACAAGTGGAGGGGGAGGAAACAATGCAAGACGGGGCTTAGTGATGACTTAAGCAAACGGGAAGGAGGTGTATTGGCTGTAAAGAGAAACAATACGATGGCATTGAAACAAACAGAAAACACAACTCCACCTGGCAGTATGTCTTCTGCCTGCTCTGCCTTGAACAGCGTCACCAGCGACTGCAGCCACTCAACGCATCGTGCGTGACGCTCCAACTTGCTCTTCGGCCACTCATCCGGCAGGAACAGTCGGACTCCCGACAACGAGTCCAAGTCACTCAGCCGACTCTCCAGGTTCGACCGCTGCACGATGATCGTCGATGCGGGGCTGTTTAGACGCGGCAGCAAGCAGGGCCTCTTGCTTCTCCAGTGCCAGCTTGTGTTTCCTCGTCCCGGCGTGCTTGCGAAAGGCCTGCGTCTGGACGTCGGTAGCACCTTTGCCTGTCCTGCCGCAACGTCCCCTGACACCGGCGTGCTTCGTGCAGAGACTGCATTTGAAATCAGGCAGACCACGAACAGTTTTGGTAAGTACAAGCCATGGGAAACGCTCAATCCACTTACTTTTGTACTTATCCAGTGCCTCGGCAAAAATCGCATCAACAATCTCCTGAACGTTGATGTCCAGAGACGGGCGCACGGTGGCTTCGTTGACAACAGCTTCAGATACGGGGACGTTGGATGATGGCTTCCAGAAGCTCAGTTTCTGTTGCTTAAGCTTGATTGTGCGCGGTACTGACGACTTCGACGCCGATGTGCCGATGTGAACGGTGTCGGAAACACCGGGCGGCGTGGGAGGGACGGACCGGATGGAATCCGGGCTGGAAGGCACGTTCGGGTTACCCGCCACTGTAGGAACCGGACCGGGTGCAGTGGGCGCTGGAGGTGGTAGTTGGCGGCCTAAAGATCTTAGCAGAAGATCTAGCCCAGTACGGGCTTCTTCTATGGCGATGCTATCTGCGTCGTCTACATCGGCGTCACCCTCGTCGTCTGAAAGGCCGGCGCCATGGCCAGCCATGGCGGAACAGAGACGAAAGCGAGCCGAGCACAGAGAGAGCGTGCCGAGCACTGAGAGAGCGTGCAGAAAATTGTTTGGTGCTAGGGGCGAAGGAACAGAAATGAAACCCTAGCGGGCTAGGGTGTGGGGTGGGGGAGTCCAGCAACTGCCTGGGGATATGCAAGAACGATCTGATGAAGCGGGCTTGGTTGGCAAGCTAACCGTGCCACGATACAAGGCGACGCGCCCCATGCACGTACCTGGTTGCAGCTTCGGGGTGGGTGGGGTGGGGGGGTTTCCTAATCGCGCGGCAACCATTTTGTGGTGCTGTGCTGCTGCAACGTGCGTGCGTTGTGCAGCGCTGTTGACTTTCCATTCGCCAGAGAGTGATGTGGTTGCCCAAACAACCAATCAGGAGCGAAGATACCTTCGCGATAAAACAGCAGTGAAGTGAACATTCGGGAATGATGCCATTCCCGAATGCGTTGGCAAGGAATCTTGCCATTTCGGCGTGATTGACGGAGGCGGGGTCGAAGCAGTGTACCTAGACGTCCGGAATTCAGGGCTCTTACGCGAATCTCCACTACAGGGATTTCAGCCCAACCCTTTCTTACAACTCTGACGATACAGCGTACCCTACTGGAAAAAATATGATATTTCAGCAAAAACCGATTAAAAAAAACTGAACTTTCAGCAAACACTTAAAAAAAAAAACTGACACAGCAGCCTCAATATTCCCCCACCACTGAAATCACAGCCTTTTTACCCCTAATCAGCCTTTTTTCGCTGACTTCTGAGGGCCTGCTCCTAATCAACCCACCTGAAGTTGGGTAAACAACATGTCAACAAACTCTCTGCAAAAATCTACCCTGCCTTCTTCATGCTTCTGCCCCATTCCAAACCTGGTTATTGTTAGGATGGTATGGCATGTCTGTTCACAGGTAGTAGTACGGTATGCCACTTTTGCACAATTGTCAATGCAAGTTAGACTTGCATATTGGCGCCCTGATCGGTAGCCCTAACTCCGACCTAACTCCGAGTAAGCTACTGTCGCGTTGGCACGCTCGGAGGAGTACACCGACAAATCGTGCCCGAATCGTACTCCGAGTAGTGAGGAGTTCTCCCCCAAAAAGCTGGAGTCAGGGGAGGCCTTCCTCGGAGTAGCCAATCAATCGCTCGAACACTAGCCCAAACACTAGACCTCGAAGGGTGAACCCACCAAAACCGCAAAAATGTTTTCTTTTTGCGGGGACAACCTCTTCAAACACCTTCAAAACTTCCCATTCCCCCCACTCCCACTGCACTCGTTGCATCCGCTCACTAATATTTTCTCGTCAAAGCACTATTTTACCTCACATCTCACGTTTCTCTCGAGTCGCGCTGACAGCCATAGTTCGACCCAGGCTTTTCAACCCTCCAGAATTTAAAATTCGTGGCGCCTTGCGGATAAGAATCTCTCAACTCGATCGACTTTCGGCACAGAGTTACATAATTAGCGCAATTGTTTTTTTGGTGTCGCGAAACCTCTGCTCCTTGGCCGCGCCAACGTTTAGCTGGTCCTAAACGCCATAGTATGCTTTAAAGTATGTTTTCTACGTGTACGCCGAGTCATGGCACTACCTCCGTGCAAGGAAAGTGACATTGAAAGCACTTTATATACCGCCAATTATTTTATTTCCCTTCTACGTGTCATTCGCACCGCCTATGTATATTCACACACAGCCCTTAGGCTTCGCTGACCACGGTCACGCGGACGCCTTCATTCCGTCACGATATATTGTGCCTTCCACGCACTGATGCGAGCGTTTCCCGTTCCTTCGCGTGCTAAAGCGGACATCTCTCGCGTTCTTGATTCCATCCATTCCTCGATGCGTACCCCTCCTACCCCCGGTTCCGTTGCCTCTACAGGCCGTCCATCCCCCCTTCCTCTCTGCGTACCGCTGCCGGAATTCACGCTTTCCGTTCCTGCCTCATTCCGTGGTGCTCTGCTGCCACGCTAATTCTGTGCTCGGCGGTGAGTTGTTTGTGCGAAGCTGTGGATTTAGTTCCTCCCACGGTGCCGTTTGTTACGAATCTCCGAGATATACAGTCCGCGGCTCCGATTCATTGAGCGAATCAGTCGCTCTGGGCTGGCAGACGCAATGGATCTAGGCTCAGGCAGTAATACAATCGTCTCTCCCCTTCTGTGCCCATATGCCGCTGTGCCTCCGTGCCTCTGTTCCTTTGTGTCTCTGTTCGGCTGGCGATCTGTTCCTTTGTGCTTCTCTCCATGTGTGCCTTGTTCCTGTGTGCCTATCTTCCGTGGTACATCTGTCCCTTTGTGCCTCTCTTCCTTTTTGCTTCTCTTGGAGCCAAATCTCGTATGTTGCATACAATATTTCCAGACGCAATGGTATGCTTATCTCTTTCGTTATCTACTCAATTTTTATGCTCGTGTTCATTCCCTCCGTGCCATCAACCCCCAATCCCGTCGGCCACCTCAGCTGGTTCGCAAACTGCTGGAGGAGGAGCTGACGTGGCGCTAGCATCATAACTAACCAGTCTAGAAGGAAACCCTTCGATTCTTGCTCTCCTCGGCCCACTCTCTTGTTCCTACCGAACATAAGATGAAGATGGCCTGTGAAGACCTGTTTCAAATGAACCGTTTTGCACCACCACCCACGCACCCCCAGTCAACCCCTTCCTTCCTCCGTCCCCTTGTCAGTTTGGCCGGCGCCTGATTCTTGACAACGGTGGTGAAGATGCTCCATGACCCGGCGAACCTGGGGTGGGGATGCCTTGAGAAGACATTTCTCAAACACACCCCTCTCCTCCCACGGCCAGGCTACGCTTAACCAATTCTTTCTCGTCCCCTTGTCAATTCTACCGGCGCCTGGCCCTTGACAACGTGGTGAAGACACGTGATGTGATGACTCGGCGAACCTGTGGCGAACATTCCCGCGTGAAGCCATGTGTCAAACGAACCTCGCCCCTGCCAACCCCTGTGTGTGTCCATCTCAGTTGGCCCGGCGCCTGGGTCTTGACAACGTGGTGAAGCTGCGCGAGGAGGACCAGGCGAGCATGTGGTGAGGATGACTTGGAAATATGCTTGTTGAGTCATCCCTTCTCCACCCACTCCCACTCCGTGTGTGGCAGGCGAGCTAGACTTTTCCGAGGCTTTACACCAGCCAGCCCAGACCAGCTT